TGTGTGTGTGTGTGTAGGGATTTGCATGAGAATAGATCTTTCAGAGAAAAGACTCTACAGCTCTAGCTATGATAAGTAAGAAAAGATAGCTCAGTGCCTCCACAGAATAGGAACTAAGGTGAAACAACCATGTTGCGTTCAGGAAAAGGTCTGCTGATGTCTGGACACACGGTATAGTAGCAAAATAGATCAAGCCTAGGGATATGCTACTTCATCTTGTTCTTTGATGATCTGAGTGTGGTTTTATTTCTTCTGTCGTAGTCATAAAGACTTATAATTATCCTAGGACAAGCCAAGGACTACAGGTTTTCCTTCATTGTCAGATTTGTTGATAAATATATTCTAAACCTGAGTTAAACATTTTACTCCAAAGCATTTTATTTATTGAAATCAATTTCAGTTATGGTAATTATGACAAAAGATTAACTCCAAAGACATATAAGAGGTCCAACATGTACTGTGAAACACACTACAAAATTATTGTAGGGACAATTGGGTAATTCTTAAGCAAAATGCAACTTCGGATCTTTTGGGGGAGGCTGTCATTAAAAGTCTATCAACTTCTCTCATGATGTCAGAAATGACACAATCAAGAGGAATGGCTTTGTAATTCATCGTTTAAAAGGGTATTTCAGAAATCAATATTGAAGTACAACACTGACTGTGATAGGATTATATCTATGTACCTTCAAGGAAATACAATTGATACAACAGTTATTCAAATTTATGCACCAACCAAGAAAGCTAGTGATGAAGAAACTGAAGAATTCTACCATCATATTCAGTCATAAACCAATCAAACATGCAATCAAGGTGCATTGATTAACTATTGGCAATCGGAATGCCAAAGTTGGTAACAAATAGGAAGAAACAGTAGTTGGAAAAATATGATCTTGGTGATAGAAACAAAGCTGGATATCACAAGATAGAATTTTTCAAGACCAATGATTAGTTCATGGCAAATACCTTTTTCAACAACACAAACAGTGACCAAATACATGGATTTCTCCAGCTAGAATACACAGACATCAAATGGACAGTATCTGTGGGAAGAGATGATGGAGAAGCTCAGTATCAGCAGCCAAACCAGGCCAGGAGTTGATGGTAACAGACCACCAATTGTTCATATGTAAGTTCAGGTTGAAAGGTTGAAGTTGTCAAGGATTTTATCTTGCTTAGATCTGCAAATTATGCTCATAAAAGCAACAATCAAGCAATCCAAAGACACATTGCTAAGGATACCTGTTGCAAAACCTCTTTAATAAAGTATTAGAATATTAAAGAGAAAGGATGTTACTTTGAGGACTCAGGTATGCCTAACCCAAACCATGGCATTTCTCTTGCCTCATATGCATATGAAAGTTGGACATTGAATAAGGAAGACCAAAGAAGAATCGCTGCATTTGAATTATGGTGCTGGAGAAGAATATTGAAAGTACCATGGACTGCTAAAAAGACAAACTCATCTGTCTTGCAAGAAGTACTATGAATGCCTATGATAGTTATAATATTTTGTGTCAACTTAATAAAAGAGTGAAGGGGTGGAGTCTAGCCTGGCAATCAGGTCACAGCCTGATGATCCCTCCTTGTGGGCATGGACTTCTCATGAGGATTCTGGAAACTTTCTTGATTTTGCCACCAGAAAAGGCAGTCCTCTCTCTCTCTCTCTCTCTCCTTCACATTCCTGTTGACAAGCCACATGGAGCCATGCTGATGGCAGCCAGAGCTCTGGAGGTGTTCCCACCGCCACTGGATCCACAAATCTTTCCACCCACAGGCCTGTGATCTTCCAGCATTGGGCATCATGGCATGTGTGGCATGAGTCTGAAGAGAAATTCATGGGATAATATTGGACTTATGGTCTAATATTGAACTTATGGATTTGATCTGGACTGGACTGGCATGTTTTATTGATTCATAATTACTTCTGGATACAAAGTTCTCTCTTATGCATATATGAGTGTCAATGACTGTTTCTCTATCAAACCAGCCTAACAGAGTGCTTAGAGACAAGGATGGTGAGACTTCATCTTACATATTTTGGGCATGTTGTCAGCAGAGATCAGTCCCTGGAGCAGGACATCATGCTTAGTCAACTAGAGGGGCAAGAAACCCGAGCAGGCCTTCAAGGGAATGAACTGACACAGTGGCTGCAGCAACGGGTTCCAGCACTCGTGAGGATGGTGCGGGGCTAGATGGTGTTTCGTTCTGGTGTGCCTAGCATTGCTAGGGGTCCGAACAGACTTGATGGTCCCGAACAACAGCAATACTCAGTAGAAATATTGGTCTTGATGCTTTACATATGACTTGGATGTATTTTAACCCCTTAGCAGTTTGGTCACTAATCACCTAAGATAAGACATGTATGTCACTTGAAAGAGAAACAGAAATGTCACAGATTGAACAGGGTTACAGAGACCCCTGGATGCTTGTCTGCTTAAAGGAGATTTATAACAATTCTCTTAATAATGAGAACATTACTATACCCCGTATATTGGTATTCCGCTGTTGTAATAACAAATCACCATGGCTTTAGGCACTTAAACAACACATATTTATGATCTTCCAGTTCTGCAAGTCTTAAGTTCTGATACAAGTCCCACTGGGTTTTGCAATTCGAGGTCAGCAGGCTGTGCACCTCCTGGTGACTCTTTGTAGACTCAGCTTCCTAGCTCTCTCTCATCAGTCCCTGCAGCTGCCTGCCTTGTAGAAGTCAGCTTTGTCCTGAACCTTATAAAAAAATACATTTAATTACTATTATTGTATTTTTAATCTATATTTTAACATTAATCCCATCTTCATCTCCTTCCTTAAAAGCACATTCTGAAATATATATAATTGTTAAGATAGAAATAATTTATATGATAGTTGTGTAAATGTCATAAATAAGTTAATAAATAATAGGTAACTATAAGAGAGCTTCAACAAGCTCATGGACAAATTCCACTATCTTTTCATTCTATTAGCCCTTGGACATTTTGAATGCTTTGTGTAAGTGTCTGTGTGGGTCTGTATACATTTAGGGTACACGCTCTAAATTTTTAGTTAGGTATGAGCCTTCAAAAGCATGCTTGTACTAATTATGTTAAATTCAGCAATCATACACCCCATCCCAGTGTTATAAATTAGAGCTGGATTGAAAAAAGCACAATTTCATCTGTTGTTAGTTTTTGCAAAAGTCTTACAAGGCAATCAGATTGTGGCGTGTCAGCATTTCATTGGCCACTAGAAAATGTCACCAAAGAGCACTTGTCAAGGCGCTCAGAATCTTCTCATCTTGGAAATAATCAGCAAACTTATTTTGAAAATACCACTTTTCTAAATAGGTAGTGGAATTTTATCATTAACTTTTAATAGGTACAGGAACATTTGAGATACCATTTCCATCTCTCTTGGGAGCAGTCTGATTTATCTGCTAGCTATCTTAATACTTATTCACTTGTTTCCTGCTATGAAAATATACAAGCAACAATTTTTAGATGCATTAATTATAGTTAGAGCTAAAAAGTTTCTGGTACTCTTGGCTTCTTTGTGGCTGTATAATGGATTTTCTTTTTCGTCATGATTAAGAGACTGTCATATTACCATCAGTGTCAGTGGCCCAAGGCCGATTCCTATGACACAAAAATCAGACGTGGCTCTGCTCCCTTTCGTTCTTTGTCAATTCTGACACCAATATTCCACTCCATAGCACTCTCTACTTCTCAACTGGATTCAATAATTCATTGCAATAACCACACAGAACTCAGATCATACATTTAGGGAGTTTATTAGGGAAGTCAACAGGTTACAATTTGGGATCAGAAAAATTCAGGATACAGTTCTCTGGTCAGGACAAGAAAGCCTCTATCTGGCTCTTAGTCCTTTGGCCTGGCCTCTGCCCTGGTCACAAATGTTACAGAGTTCTTTTAGTGCTGCCAGTCAATGCCCAAGGGCGTGCCACTCTATCAAAAACCGAAGATCAAAGGTCTAGCTCTGTGGGTCAGCAAACATTATCTGGAGGCACCCCATTCCACAATCAGAACTTTTGTCCAAAGGCACTCAGATTCACTCACTCCGTGGGATCAGAATCCCACACTACTCAGTCTCCTGTGCTGGCTCTTGTTGCTGCTGCTGCTGCTGCTGCTGCTGCTGCTGCTGCTGCTCTGCCACTCCTCTGCTGCCTCGCCGGTCTCATCACTTTCTGTCCCCGGGTCCAAAGAATGTGCTCCACTCCTGGCTCTTCTTTCTTCTTTCTTGATGGCAGTGGGGACTCCTTCATTGCTTCTACGAGGATTTAAGCCCAACAGGAGGGCAAACTGACTCATGCATCCATTAGACTTCTAAGTTTTGTAAGGACCATAAACCCTGTAAAAATCATTCACAACCGAATCATGTAATCCTATCAATATCTTCTCCAACTTCTTTTACCCATTCCCATCATTTTGTGGGACTTTAAAGCACTAGAGCTGAAAAAGCCATTTTAAGCAATTCACTGCACCAAATGACACATTGCTAGCAAAAAGATAATACATAACAGAGAAAGCTCATGAGTTTGCTTCTTCAGTAGAATATATTTCTTCACATCTAGTGTAAGCAATTTATTTATTTGCTCCTGTGTGTGTTTATAGCTAGTAAATGCAGAAACTTAGACACTCACCACCTGTTTGATCTAGAAACGAAGGGAACATCCATTCCACTCACCAAACTATTCCCTGAGCCCCAGACCCGATAGGCTTTAGATTCTGGTAGCGCTTGAGGACTGTAAAGGTTGAATCTCCCACTTCCACACTGTAGAACTGGTTGTCCACTTTGCTTTTGCTCATGTTGTAATGTTTGGCAATATATGACACATCCACTTGTTTATCAAATCCCTGTCAAAAGAAGAACAATAAAAACATGAGACAAATGAATAACTAAAATGGTAATGCAATGTAAAGAAGCGTGTTTTGTAAGTATTGCTAACATGCACTCAACTAGTGTCATTACATACACTTGAATTTGACATGGGAAACCTATGCATTTGACCATGTAAAATGAATCAGATTAGTATTGAAATGTTTTTTATTAGAATAATTTTCTATTAAAGATACATAGCCTTTCCTTCAGTATTTTTTAAAATCATTCATCTATGGAGCAAACATGTATTGAAGAAATACTGGTCCCAGAGACTATAAGAGTATTATAGATATGTACAGATCCAGGTAGATAATTAGATGAGGCATAATCATCCATTCCAATAGCTACATGAAGAAGGATAAATAATGTATCTACAATACTTGTCAGTAAAAACAAAAAACAAACAATTTTGAGAAATAGTAAAATAATATGTATTTCCATTTTAAAATGAATTTTATAGTGAACAGAATTGAACTTTGTTTTCAGTAATAAAAAAGTGCTATGATTGAAAACCTTGAATTAAATATTGAAAACTTTAAAGTTAACGTGATTATAAAATACCACCTCTCTGTTCTCTGACATCTTAAATTTTAAATATCATATTGGTTGCATCTTTTCTCAGTAAGAGAAGTTTATCCATCCACCATCATATTTAGAAATTGAATATCCTGCCCTTTAAATTTGAATCATGATTTACATATTTATTTACTGCCATCAGGACAATAACAACTCTGCGACCCTTTAAGACAGAGCAGAACTGCCCTTTTGGATTTCTAAAACTCAACTCCCATGGACAGCAGTAGAAAGCCTAAATACTTCTCAGGATTGGTATTTAGACAGACATCATAAATGCTACATTTGTTACACTGACAACATTACTATCTGGTTGCATCAGGTCAGTTATTCTGTTTTGTGATGATGCAGTTGTTAGGTGCTGTGGAGTCAGTTCCCGTGGACAACAGGAAGAAGCACCACCTGGCCCAGCCCCGTCCTCACAAGTGTTTGTGTTTGAGCCCATGGTTGCACCCTGTCCATCTTGCTTATTGAGGGATTCGTCTGTTTCACTATTCCAGTTTCCCAAGCATGATGTCCATCTCCAGGGACTGGTCTCTCCTGAAAACATGTCCAAAGTACATGAGGTGTAGTCTCACCATCCCTGACTCTACCAAGCGCTCTGGCTGTACTTCTTCCGAAACAGATGGGTTTGTCTCTTGTGAAGTCCATAGTACCCTCAATATTCTTCTCCAGCAAAATTCAAATGCATGGATTCTTCTGGTCTTCTTTGTTCAGTGCCCAACTTTCACATGTAAATGAGGCCATTGAAAATACCATGGCTTGGGCCAGGTGCACCTCAGCTCAAATTAGCATTTCTGCTTTTCTCATACTTTTTAAAAATTTTTATTGGGGGCTTGTACTATTCTCATCACAATCCATATATCCATCCATTGTGTCAAGCACATACGTACATTCGCTGCCCTCATCATTCTCAAAACATTTGCCCTCCACCTCAGCCCTTAATATCAGTTGCTCATTTCCCCCTCCCTCCCCACC